GGTTTCTTTAGTAACAATGACAAAGAAAAAAAAATAAGTAAGCCATTCGCAAATTGATTGCGAATCCGTGGACCGCGAGTATTTTCCAGGACTTAAATGGCGTATAATTCAGGTCTGTAAAATAATTTTGCAGTGAAAATTTTCTAAGGGTTTCTGCTCAATATTATTGATCGTGGACAATGAAAATCTAAGCTGTTCGCAAATTTATTGCAAATTCGTGATCCGCGCGAGCGCCGACTGAAACTTTAATCAGATATTATTATCTAGAAATTAAGTTGCATGAAAAAAGTACCGTCAAAACAGAACCTGAATTTCTACTCGGGAGTTTAAAATTTTGCCATAGTCTAGAACACTTCTAGAAGTATAGTACCTTGAAAGAGTAGGGATAATCGCCATCTTGATTTCTCATCGTAGAGTGGGGAGACAAGGGATCTTGTCAGGCCCTATTCATTTGTGTAGTCACTTGTCTGACGATACTTGAAAAGTGTGCATCGACGTTTTAGTGACTGATCATTTTTATTGAATTCTTATATTATTCACGCAATAATGGCCGCCTTTAATAATTACAAGTTAGAAGTTCTTTCCGGTTTAATAAAATCCGGAAAATTATCTATTCTCCACTTTGCAATCAAAGTTTCTGATGAGAAATTTATCGACTTCCTGCTGGCAAATAAAGTGGACCTGGATCTGAACATACCATCTCAGGGAACAGCACTTCACTTAGCCGTCAGCAAACAAGACTTTGACCTGGTGAAGAAGTTGATTAATTCCGGAGCTGATGTCAACGCTGTGAAAGAAGACATCATGGATAGTTACTATAAGTGGTCAACTTTGCATCTAGCAATTTATTCGGGGAATGCTCGAATTGTGGAGTTACTATTAAAAAATAATGCCACCATCGAACAGGGAAGTGAAGAAGTTTATTCTTCGTTGCGATTGGCCATAAGGGCCAACAACATTAAAATCCTCCAGCTCTTAGAAACCTTCGGAGCGGAGGTAAATGTGATCAAGGATGGAAAATATACGACGGAATTCAATCTGGCAATAGAAGAAGACAACCTCGAAGTTGTTAAGTTCTTTTTAAGAAAGTGTTGTGATGTAAATGGCCTCATCGATGATTTTCTTGGTGAAAATTTACTCCACAAAGCCGTTAAAAATTGTAGTGATGAGGTTTTACAATATCTATTGAATTGTGGTATGGACTTTAATTTACTCGATAAGCAAAATGTTACTCCATTAAAATTAGCTATAAATTTAGTTAAAGAAAATCCATATTTAAGTTATAATTATAAAAAAATAGTTCATATTATTGAAAAACATATCATTAAAATGTATGCTGCAAATTGTTATGTCAGTGAAGTAAACTTAAAATTAACCAGTATTGAGGATTTAGTTGCACTCCGTGAAGAGTCTACTAAGGAAGTTAGTTTATTGAAAGAGACTAAAATTGCTGATACTAATTTAAGTTATTATCATGTTTTAAATAAAAGTATCCATAAGTTAGCATTAGGTTTAAAATATTTTAAGAATTCTTTCAACGAAGAAGAATTATCACTTAAATTTCCTTTGTATGGCAAAATAATTTTTGAACGTTTGAAGAAAGGAATGGAACGCCGAACTTTGTTAAGTGACTCACAGGAAGAATTGTATGTAATTTTTGATAATTATTTCCCGTGTCTCATTATTAGAGAAATTTTACATTTTTTGAGTAATGACGACCTTAAGTTGTTAATAAAATAATTATTATATCCAATTCAGAATATTTTATTGTGTATAAGTCGCTATTTGTTAGATTTTAATTTTAACTCTTGTGTGAAATACAATAAAAATTTTTTATTTTCTTAAATCTGAATATTCTTATTTCAATAATAATATCTTACATTGTCATATTCAATAACCTTTACCTTTTCCTATAAAAAACCTTTTTTAGATTTATTTAAAATTTTTTACCCTACCAAAAAATAAATTGTGAATTTTTTAAATAGTGCCTTTTTTTCCAAATAATTAATTTTTTCAAATTTCAAGTTATTAGAGCTCTCTTGTCACAATTTTTGTTTTTAATGGTGATCAAAAACAATTATTTGAATCAATCTACTGTTTTTTTTGGTTGTTAGAAAAAATAAAAAATTTCTCGATGATAAACTTTCCATTTTTCTAATTTTCACCAAGTAAATCAATGATTTTCAAGAAATCGGGTCGTTATTATTTTCCTACCCTCCACAAAGCCGTTAAAAATTGTAGTGATGAGGTTTTACAATATCTATTGAATTGTGGTATGGACTTTAATTTACTCGATAAGCAAAATGTTACTCCATTAAAATTAGCTATAAATTTAGTTAAAGAAAATCCATATTTAAGTTATAATTATAAAAAAATAGTTCATATTATTGAAAAACATATCATTAAAATGTATGCTGCAAATTGTTATGTCAGTGAAGTAAACTTAAAATTAACCAGTATTGAGGATTTAGTTGCACTCCGTGAAGAGTCTACTAAGGAAGTTAGTTTATTGAAAGAGACTAAAATTGCTGATACTAATTTAAGTTATTATCATGTTTTAAATAAAAGTATCCATAAGTTAGCATTAGGTTTAAAATATTTTAAGAATTCTTTCAACGAAGAAGAATTATCACTTAAATTTCCTTTGTATGGCAAAATAATTTTTGAACGTTTGAAGAAAGGAATGGAACGCCGAACTTTGTTAAGTGACTCACAGGAAGAATTGTATGTAATTTTTGATAATTATTTCCCGTGTCTCATTATTAGAGAAATTTTACATTTTTTGAGTAATGACGACCTTAAGTTGTTAATAAAATAATTATTATATCCAATTCAGAATATTTTATTGTGTATAAGTCGCTATTTGTTAGATTTTAATTTTAACTCTTGTGTGAAATACAATAAAAATTTTTTATTTTCTTAAATCTGAATATTCTTATTTCAATAATAATATCTTACATTGTCATATTCAATAACCTTTACCTTTTCCTATAAAAAACCTTTTTTAGATTTATTTAAAATTTTTTACCCTACCAAAAAATAAATTGTGAATTTTTTAAATAGTGCCTTTTTTTCCAAATAATTAATTTTTTCAAATTTCAAGTTATTAGAGCTCTCTTGTCACAATTTTTGTTTTTAATGGTGATCAAAAACAATTATTTGAATCAATCTACTGTTTTTTTTGGTTGTTAGAAAAAATAAAAAATTTCTCGATGATAAACTTTCCATTTTTCTAATTTTCACCAAGTAAATCAATGATTTTCAAGAAATCGGGTCGTTATTATTTTCCTACCGATTCGATCGTAAGATATCATTTCCGAAAGAAATCTAGAGGATTTTTTTTTTTTTTAATGACAAATTTACATTAAATCGATTTATTTCTTATAAATGTTTTTGTTAATCTTAAAAAACTGCGTCGATTAGCGCAAACTGCATCGAAATCGATTAATTTTTCCGAGAGATATCTAATTTTTTAAGAATTAATAAAACATGGTTTGTAAATTATTTATCATAACGGATTTTTTTTTGTAAGTATTGGTAAAGCTTTTTTAACCATGTTAAATGCTGCCAAGCGTTCTAAAAGCAGATGGTTTGACCGAAAATTACTTTAATTTTAACTTATGACAAATCGTAGCTCGTTTTTTGCAAGTTTCAATCTATGACTAACTACAATACTATCGTATATTGTTATTTAGACGATAAGAAATATCAATCATGGAGAAGAAATTACATTTTTTTTTAACAAAGACAAAAATTCCAACTGATGTTTTGCATCAATTGTTAGGATTTTTTTCGATAATAGTATTCCAAAAAAGGTAATTGAAAAAAAAAAGTCATTAGGACTGTTTTTGGTCCCATCATAAAATTTTTAAAACAAATTTTAAAAGTTATTAATCTCAATGAGCTATTTCTCAACTTTTATAACTTATTGTTTTAATCAAAAATAGCCCCAAGAAATCATTAACCGTAGTTAATTAGATTCTAGAACCAGACGAGCGTCTAGGGTTTATCAGGTAGACAGGTAGTCTCCGCTATTCAGCCTGACTAGGGTCTAGATGCCCATCTGGCTCTTGTTTCAAACTAACAATAGTTAATGTTTCTCTACAAAATATCATTTAAAACTAATTACATTACTTAAATAAAATTTACGACATATTTCCTAGTCTTTTGATCCTTGATAATTAATAAATTTTTCTTTGTCAATGTTTTACCAAAATACTTTATTTAAATATTCATACTTTATTCATGAAGCATAGCAAATTTTATACATAAAAACTTATCTCTGGTTAATTACGATTGACAATTAGAGTTCTCTTTTAGTCACCATTACTATTGTAATTATTGCTTACAAAATTTTTCTAACTCATTTACTGTCTATTGACTGAAACTAAAAAAAAAATTGCCGTGCCATGGATTTTATCATATTAACAACATGCGGTGCTGGAAAAAAAAAACCTAGATGCTATAGCAAAATCTTTCCATACATTAATATCATATGATATTTAATTATCTAAAAAATAACGATGAAGATAGATTTAAATATTTATTTTGCATACTTTTTCAAAAAGTATATTAAAAAATATAAGTTTTAAATAAATGAATGTCCAAATAAATTAAAATTAAAAAAAAAAAAAGCAAATTTTTGCAAAAATTCATAACTTTCAGTCAAATCAAAAGGGGTCAGGGTTATAAGTGGTCGATTAGGCATAGAATGCTCTATATGTATATATTTTTAAGTAATTTTTTGTTCACTTGTTTTAATTCAGGCGCATGTCAAATGCAAGAAAGGTTTAGTTACATGTAGAGATGGTAGCACCTGCCTTAGCAACGAAACTAACAACACAAAGTTTATTGCATTGTTTCTAAATAGTGTAGTAATCCTTCGTAAGTATTAAGGTGCTGAAGCCGTGTTTTTATATTTCATCGCAATGGTAAGAAAATTCAGTGATAAAATTTATTTTTTAACGTTTTATATCATATTATAATTATTATAAAACATAATGAGAACAAATTATGTTAATTGTTTACAAAAAGTGATTGACCCTCGAAAAATTTGCCCTTGACCGATAGATACTAAACTAACATTGAAATATCACATTCTTCATTTGATAAGTTGGAGTTTTAAATAATTCAAACATTAGACAAATCTTAAAGAAGTATAATTTAAACAAAGTTAATGTATTGTTAATGTTGTTTAATTTTAAATTGGTTAAGGAATAACTCGTTAAGAAATTTTAACGAAGCAACTAATTTTTTCAGTAAATATAACTGATGTTAAGAATATTGCTACATTAATTAAAAATTAAATTGATTTTAGGGACTCTTATCAATTTTACGAAAATTGCGTTCAACCCACGATAAGGAACTGCGACTTTTATTGCTTGGTCTCGACAACGCTGGAAAAACAACAATATTAAAGTCATTGGCTAGCGAAGATATCACTCAAGTATGTAATTTTCTATTACGTATTTAAACGTACATAGAGCATATATGTAAACATTACTATATTATTCATTAAAGGTTACGCCGACGCAAGGTTTCAATATAAAAAGTGTCCAAAGTGAAGGTTTCAAACTTAATGTATGGGACATTGGCGGCGCGCGTAAAATAAGACCTTATTGGCGAAATTATTTCGAAAACACTGATATTCTTGTAAGTACAACAGTAGACGCACTACATCGATAGAAAAAATTTATTTTGAAAAAAATTGGAATTGTTGTGACAAGAAATTAATTTTAAACAATTTTATTTCTTAGCTGGAGAATTAAAAATTTTTACCTCAGTGATTCTCCTGTTAAAAAAAATTTTTTTCATTTGTAAAAAAAACTATTTTATACAGAGAACTTGCGATATTTCATCCAAAAATTTTTTTTTCCAATTTTATTTATTATTTAAATTATTTTTAATTAAATTTAATTAGTAAAATTTTCAAGAAATTAATTTCTTTTTACATTGCTCATTTTTTTTTTTTAATAAATTTTTTCTCTTAGTGTAAAGTACAATCTGAATAAAAATTTCAATTATTTTTTTTTTTTTTCTAGATTTACGTAGTAGACAGTGCTGATATTAAAAGACTTGACGAAACAGGCCAAGAACTTTCGGAGCTTTTGATGGAAGAAAAGTTACGCGGAGTTCCACTATTAGTTTATGCAAACAAACAAGATTTGGGACAGGCCGTCACTGCTGCCGAGATTGCTGAAGGATTAGGGCTTCATAATATCAAAGACCGGGATTGGCAAATACAATCTTGTATTGCGACAGAAAGTAAGGGTGTTAAGGTATGAAATTATTTTTTATAGTTTGTTCATTGTGTCAGAAGAATTTAGTCTGAATAATATATACAAACTTGATGATTTCATTTGAAATAATATTTTGAAACGGAATCAGTACTCTTGTAGAAAGAAAAAAAAATTAATTACAGCTCGTACTTTTACAAATATATCGATTTACAAAAAACATATCGTTTCTTTTAAATAATAAATATTGTTGTAGAGACGGTCTCTACATTAATTAATACGTATTGCGCAGCACAATCTGGTATAAGCGAAATTTTTTTTTTTTTTTACGTTCAAAAATACTTTATACGTAGATACAATTTGAATATTGCTGATTGTAACGAAAGTGTGTTCTGTACCAATATAATATGTACACAGTAAAAAATTTTGTTATCATTGCGTCGAAAAATTTTACGTTGAAAATGTTTGTGTTAAATATTTAACACTTATAAGTGTAAATTTAACATTTTTTTGTGTTAATTTTTATGAAATTTATTTGACGTGATGACGACAAATTTTTTACTGTTTACAGTAAATATTACTACTCAATGTATGTCTTACATATAATTCCATTGCAAAAAAAATTCTGATTCAAAATGAATTTAAGATTGAAATTCATATTTTGAGACAAATATGAATTAGTTTTAAGATCAATCCAAATTTGAAATTGATTCGTAGATAGAAATTAGCACGCCTGTAGAACTACATTAAAATAGTTTAAAAAATTTTACCGTCCATCAAATATGAAAACCGTAAGCACTGTAATTTGCGAAAAAATTCATCTGTTGAGTCAAATTTATTTTTTTTATCGTTTGAAGGAATTGTAGGTCCCCTGTTGCGAATGGTTATGTAATTCAGTGTCGTTTAATTGCATTTAATAAAATAAAATAACCAAAAGACTGTATATCTAATGTTTATTATGTATATTTATCCCACTAGAAGCGCTTGCTCATTATTATCCCATTACGGCTGTTTTATATTTTTTCTTCATATTTTTAATTTTATTATTTTATAATTAAATAAGTATTATGAATCGTTAATTTACTTCTGAGTTTTTCAAGTTTTTTTTGCGAATTCTTAGGGCCAGTATTCACCTATGAAAAATTTCCAGATATGATCACATCAGATAAGCTTTTTGGGAGTGTAAAAAATTATTTTTGTTTAGAAATTATTTTATAACTTTCTTGTAAGGAAATAATTCGGCGATCATGTCTCTTTCTTTGGAAATTTCGAACACTATCTAAGATATCTAATTTTATTTTAAAGAATTTTTTTCTTAGTATAGTGGCAAGTCACTACATGTACATTGTGTATTTATGTTACCTACATATTTCCCGTACAAAAAAAATTCTGATTCAAAATGAATTTAAGATTGAAATTCATATTTTGAGACAAATATGAATTAGTTTTAAGATCAATCCAAATTTGAAATTGATTCGTAGATAGAAATTAGCACGCCTGTAGAACTTTTGATCCTGCTTTAGAATTTCAATAAAGACTTAAGAATATTTTATATATAAAATTTATCCTAATCATTTTGAATCAGAATTTTTTTTGTACGGGAAATATGTAGGTAACATAAATACACAATGTACATGTAGTGACTTGCCACTATACTAAGAAAAAAATTCTTTAAAATAAAATTAGATATCTTAGATAGTGTTCGAAATTTCCAAAGAAAGAGACATGATCGCCGAATTATTTCCTTACAAGAAAGTTATAAAATAATTTCTAAACAAAAATAATTTTTTACACTCCCAAAAAGCTTATCTGATGTGATCATATCTGGAAATTTTTCATAGGTGAATACTGGCCCTAAGAATTCGCAAAAAAAACTTGAAAAACTCAGAAGTAAATTAACGATTCATAATACTTATTTAATTATAAAATAATAAAATTAAAAATATGAAGAAAAAATATAAAACAGCCGTAATGGGATAATAATGAGCAAGCGCTTCTAGTGGGATAAATATACATAATAAACATTAGATATACAGTCTTTTGGTTATTTTATTTTATTAAATGCAATTAAACGACACTGAATTACATAACCATTCGCAACAGGGGACCTACAATTCCTTCAAACGATAAAAAAAATAAATTTGACTCAACAGATGAATTTTTTCGCAAATTACAGTGCTTACGGTTTTCATATTTGATGGACGGTAAAATTTTTTAAACTATTTTAATGTTTTTTTTCCGTTTCTATTGCACTAAATCAATTTTTGAAAAGGATGGAATTAATCTGATTTAAATTATCTTCACAAAAGTACGCAAAATATCTTGTTTCTGTGAACTAACAAGGGTATAATAATAATAGTAGTCGCCGAAATAAAGTGAAAAAAAAAATTTCTTTATCTTCTGATAGGTAAAATATTTCATTTTGTATATTTTAACAGACTATTTTCTTCTAACAACTAAAATTTAAATTTTTCGAAGAGAAATTATAAGAATCTTTCTTTATGTACTCTTTAATTTTTCTCAGTACTAATTTAAAAAGTACAAAGGATTAAAAAAAACAATACTCTATTTATCTATTTTCATTATCAAAGGTAATAATTTTTTGTACCATGTTATAAAATATTATTTTAATACTAGATAATAAAAAGTGTTTTATCTAGAGTATATTTATTTTAAAATTATAATCCTTTTAACACTAATTATTTTAATAAATTTATTGCATGTTTACATAAAAATTATTACAGGAAGGACTTGAATGGGCATGCAAAAGTATCAAAAAGAAGTAATATTTAAAATGATACTCTAATCAAACTATTATCGGAATGAATATGTAGCGCCAACAAAATTTTTGTACATTTGTTATATTCATTTTGACATTTACCTAATATTTACAAATAATTAATTAATGGTAAATAGGTTTGATAAAAATAATTATTTTTAAAAACAAGACAAAAGTTCACATTTCTTATTACTTGACTTATAATTACATATCTATATATTTGTGATAGTATTGCACTTAATGGTATGGAGCTTATTTGATGTTTTAAACATTGATGAACATTTATGAATGTAGACCTTCCAACAAATTTATCATTATTATCAATACAATTCAAATGTTTATGATTAATATTTTCGAAACGATGTAAAATAATTATATTTTCAACTTAAAATAACTTGTGAGATAAAATAAAACGTTAAGTAAAATAATAAAATAATATCTTTATGTTATCACACTAATATTAAACATATCCAATATTTTTTTTTCTTCTTGACTTTCCTCATAATAGATTTATGAAAAATATTGAAAGCCATTGGTGTCTTAACAAAGTATAAATCACTTGAAAATTTATCAACTTGTATTGAATAAGTCTTTAAGTTTTATGCTACATGCACATAATGCCACATATTTATAATTCGCTATGGATCGCTTCTGTAGTAACTCGGATTTCTTCTTCATGGAAATCATTACAGTCAGCTGGATACTTTTCCTGCAACAGCCATTAAATAATTTAGTATTTTATTACTATAATAAACTGCTAAACTTTTTACCAAGATACTTACGAAACATTGATCATTTTCTCTAATAGCGCCATAAAGTGTCCAGAAGCTAACGTTTGTTTTCGTACTAATTGCCCACGCAGCTGGAAAACTGCTAAGTTTTATAATAGTCTCTCGGAGGACAGATTTATTATTGTCATCTGAGGGCTTTTGATTGATAACGCATAAAATGTGCGTTGCGCATTTTGGTGATTTTAGTGCCCATTTGTACGCTCGGTAAGTCTGTAAAAATATGTTTTATTTATAAATTATTTTATGTTGTAAAAGATGTAAAAAATTTTTATTAAATTATATGAGAAAGAGTTTTCGATAAAAATAAGAATCGAATTAATTTTTTAAATCATAAAAATCAACTATTGGATATTATTTTAGGAAACAGAAAAATCTAGAAGCAAATTTTGATAATTTTATCCAATGACATCAAAGTTGAGGATGTTCTTTGCACAGTAAAAACTTTTGCGTCATTATTGCGTAAAAAAATTTCAAGTTTAATAATTAACACCTCACAAAGCTTATTCATTTTTTAAGTAAAAAATAAATTATGTAATTGATTTTTAAAAGAAAAAAAAATTAAGTAATTTCTTATAGAGTATTTTCTATTTTTTTTTAATTATTGGCGTCCGTTTTTCTTGTCATATGCGCGCGCAGTCTATTTAGAAAATTTAGCCTAATTAAATGACGCCATAGTTTAAAATTAATTAAAAAAAAGTTTGGAAAATCCAAAAGTGCACGCCTCATAATCTCATTTTTTAAAATAAAATTGATTAAAATAAAATATAAAAAGCAAAATAATAAAAAACAGAAAACACTGCTATGGTTTAGTGGCGCCATAACTGCAAGGTGAGGAAAAAAAATACTATAATAAAATGTATAGATAGAAATACAAAAAAATCCACAGTCATATATTAGTTTTTTATAAATAATAATTTAACGACAGTGAATTGAACGCTCATATTAACTAAGAAATTCTGTCGCGTGTTACTTTAGATAATTAAAAAAAAATTATTCCGGTACGATCATTTTTTCGACCAATTTCCCTGCCACATACACCCATTCATACACGGACGTCCAAAAAAGATTATGTTTAATGTTATTATTTATTATGTTAAACAAAAAAATTGTTATTGAAATATATTTTATGTGCCTGAAAAATTATTTGACTTGACATAAGTGTACTCATTTTAACCTGTAAGTGCGATATAAATAACAAAAAATTAATTTCAGTTTCGAGAAAACTGCTTTTTTCGAAATGTCGAGAGTAGAGCACAACCTCAACGCTTCGCTTATGAGGCGTGCAAAAAATACGTAAACTAGGCTACTGATATGAAATACGGCACCAGCTTATCGAATTCTGGAACTGGATGATTTTGTTCAGAAGTAATCGTTGGTACATACAAAATCACCGAGTGACATCAGGACGTCCACGCAAAATTTTTTTCGAAACGTTTTTTTTTTTTTATTTTTTTTTTTTTTTCCCAATTTGGTACTTGTTTAATTTTTTTTTTTATCTTTATAAAGTAATACGTTTAAAATTTGACAATACGAATGTAATTAACTTTTATATTTTTTTTTTTTTTTTTTTTTTATACTTTTACTAGAGTTTTTAAGCTAAAATTTTACACTCGCTGAAATTGAACCATCTTTTTGCTTTCTAAAATCGTTTTATTATTTTTGTTTTAATTGAATTTTTATTAAAATTCACTCGATACACATGTATAAAAGTAAACGAAATTTTTCTTATCTCTCACTGATATTTAAATCCCACAAAAAACAGTTTCATTGTAAACCGTCGCGCCAAGTACACGTCCAACTATTGTTACAAACCTTGATACAACCATTCATATACGGACGTCCAAAAAAGATTATGTTTAATGTTATTATTTATTATGTTAAACAAAAAAATTGTTATTGAAATATATTTTATGTGCCTGAAAAATTATTTGACTTGACATAAGTGTACTCATTTTAACCTGTAAGTGCGATATAAATAACAAAAAATCAATTTCAGTTTCGAGAAAACTGCTTTTTTCGAAATATCGAGAGTAGAGCACAACCTCAACGCTTCGCTTATGAGGCGTGCAAAAAACTACGTAAACTCGGCTACTGAGATGATATACGGCACCAGCTTATCGAATTCTGGAACTGGATGATTTTGTTCAGAAGTAATCGTTGGTACATACAAAATCACCGAGTGACATCAGGACGTCCACGCAAAATTTTTTTCGAAACGTTTTTTTTTTTTTTTTATTTTTTTTTTTTTTTTTCAAAAGTAGCAACACAAAATGATTTTTAAAAAGTATAAAATAGCTTACTTCAAATGTTTTCTCGATTTAAATCTATTACTCATATTATTGTATAAGTGCAATAGGGTCGTAATAGAGGCATTAAAAGGACACAAAATTGCTTGACCTTGACGAATCGGGAGTAAAGCACTACCTCACGCGCTTCGCGCTATGAGGCGTGCAATATTTAACACCTTTTTTTTCCGACGCAATGACGCAAAATTTTTTACTGCACTGAGAAAAAAAAATACTTTTATTAAGAAAATTTTCTTGATACAAGAATTTATGTTCTTGAAAATTTTCAAGAATTTATATTCTTAGCTCAAGAAATTGTTAAATTGATTGAAGTAATTATTACTTAATTCAAATAAAGCTACTCTTTTGTTTATTTATTATCCAAAGATAAATGTTGATGTTCTTCTCTTCAGAAATTAATAATTAATAACAATAGAATATTTGATCGTCGGCGAGTTTCTTGAGCCAAGAAATTGTTAATTGAGCAAAAGTATTTTTTTTTCTCAGTGTGTGTGGGTTCAAGTCCGCACGTAAAAAACTACTCTGTAAAATTTATAGAAAAGTTTATAAAATTTACAGAATTCTATCTGTAAGTCGGTTAATGTAAAATACACAGAAGCTAATATGTAACTTTTACGTAGTCAATTCTGTGATTCTATACCTGTAAATTTAACATACTGAGTCTTTAGTTATAACAAAATATTTTCTGTAACTGTTTAAGTAACAATTTATCGTAATAAATTAAAACGCGCTACTCGGGTCAGCCTCATTGCAAATTAATTTAGATCACCTTTTTGAATTTTTCCAAAAATTGTAATTTTTCTGATTTTTTATAGTGTACTTCTTGATAAATTATTTTTTTATGTCAGTAGAAAGAATTATTCATTCACGTACAATAAAAATTTGAAATTTACTATTAAAGAATTATTATTTACATTTTTTAATTATAGTTAAGCTTTATTTCAATTCATGATATTACTCTCGAATGAACACAATACTCTTGTAAATTTTACAGAATTTACCGGTAAATTTTACAGAAAAAATATGTAGTTTTTACATAATTTTATTTGTAGTGATGACATGTTTTTTCTGTGAATTTTACAGAGCCATTTTTTACGTGAGGAACCTTCGAGCAACAATTCAGTACGCTACATTTTTATCAACAAAATTTGATAAAAAGCCATCGAGTCATTTTATAACTAGCTGTTTATTATTTGGCTGTTACTTACCTTAAGAATTGGAGCTACAATATCATTATTAATAGTGTCACTGAGACGATTGCTGAGTTCATGAGCATTTACCCTGGACATGATAAATCCTTTTTCAGAAGCTAGCTTTATCAAATCTTGAACATACGCCACCGCAGGTCTTATATACTTAGCACTATCTATATTCATGTTTAGATATCTTTTCGCTCCGGCATTTATCATTCTAGTAAGACTCTCAGAAGGCCTTGCTGGGTCGAACACTGCTGACTTGGGAAATCCTTGGGATTTCAAGAAACTATTGACTACGAATTGAGCAGTTGTCAGGTAACGACTTTGAATATCAGGATCAGATATATGTGAAAACCATTCAGCCACAAAGTTTGTTAGAGATCTTATCCACCGCCGACGAGCACTTGGATTTTCAAAACTTTCCAGAATCCGTTCATACATTATGTGACCTTCCGAATCACTCATAGAACCAACAATGTGAGCTAACCCACTATTTTTCCACAGTGTTTGTCCAAGTTCAGAATTTCTGAAAAAAAATTTGTTTCGGAATTCAATAAATTATATTTACTAGCAACTTGCAGTCACTATAAGACTGCTGAGAATTACGAATTATGAATAAGAAAACTTTGGCTTAATAATTTCTTCATATTTATAATCACACTATGCATAGTTAAAGTACTTTTTAAATAAATTTAAAAAATAATAGTGCTATTACAGGATCAATTACAAATAATTTAATGGACAAATGTGACGGAACAAATTTATAGAACCAACAAACTATTCAAAATTCCTATAACTTGACAAAAAAATTGACTATCACTTAAAAATATATAAAACTGTGAAAAGACACAATTTCTCACCAAGATCTTTCTGCTGATACCAAATTTAACTATAAAAATTCCTTTAAAATTAATAATATGCTAGTCACAAAATTTTCCTTACTCTTTCAATTATTTAAATCAAAAGTGACTACTTATCTCTGAAAAAATATTAAACCCAATTTAGGATAAAGGTATAATTTTTCGTAGTCTGTTAATTATATAAATTAATTTTTGAGTTATTGCCACATTTACATGTACAGAAGAAATAAATAATTAAACAAATTAATCTATAAAGAATGACTCCAAAAATTTATCATTATATAAATGATTTATTGCCGAATAGTATGTAAAACATTGGAAAAGCATAAATTCAGGTCAAAACCTTTTCAATGATACTAAATTTTATTTAAAAACTCATTTTATCATATAAATACTCCTGAGCCAAAATTTTCTTTATTCTCTTCATTACATAAATGATTTTTTACCTGAAATGATCCCATAGAATATGTGCATTTTCAAGAATTGGTGGCATGTACCATGAATGAGCAGAGTGATCATGTTTTTTCTGATGATCGTTAGATGATTCACCAGTGTTCAAGTTTTCCAATATCATCGGAAGCAATCCCATAATACCTTCAGCATTTCCGTTTTCACGTGAACCTATAAACATACTGGCCATGTTCAACATCCCTTCGAAATCAAATCCATTTCCTTCTTCACTATCAGACCCCGTTTTTCTCGCCTGTTGATTATTATTACTATTACCGGCCGAAGAAGCAACCATCTGTAAAACTGGACCGAGCATTGATAAATCAAAACCTCCTTGATTTTTGCTGTTTTGATTTCCTGATGAACCTGCCATCAAGTTCCCCAGGCCGGTTAAAATTTGACCGAATCCTGCTAAGCCCTGCTACAATGAAGAAATAAATTGAAAATTATAACTTCGTATGCGTGATAAGTAGAAAATTATTTGTTTAAGACCATACATTATTATTTTCATTCATAAACCTATTTGGTCCCGGTGATTCATCAGAGAAAAACGAATTGGCAACTTCGACAAATGCACTAGATATGTCAACATCATCATTCTTCTCACCAAGAACAATGCCCAGGAAAGCTATGATTATTATACTCTTTGGAAAATACATTTTTTAACCTGAAACATAAATTATTAATTGGTTGATGATTTTTATCATAAAGTGGACTTAAGGTGGCTGTTGCGTGATAGGCATTTCAACAGAAAATTATGATATTTTTTTTATCGAAAGATAAATATATTAATAATTCATTGCAAAAATTTCGGATCAATTCACCGCACCGTTTTTGAGTAATTAATTTTCAAAATTGCATTATTTACACGCAGAGGTATAGAGAGATGATAAAGTTAGTATGAAATCTTCCGTACCACTCGAATGATGCAAATAATTTCATCTCTCTATACCTCTGCGTGCAAATGATGCAAATTTCAAAAATTAATTACTCAAAAACGGTGCGGTAAATTGATCTGAAATTTTGGTAATGAATTATTAATACATTTATCTTTCGATAAAAACAATTTCATAATTTTCTGTTGAAATGCCTATCACGCAACAACTACCTTAAAATTTAGCAAAGTGAGAACAATTTATAGTTTCTCAAATGATTTATCTCTATAAATATTTAAAATTATAATTTCTAAGAATCACGGTTTTCGAAAAAATTTGAAAAATTTCCTCTTTATGGATAAATGTTATTTCATTCGGCACTTATTGTTTATTAATTGCAATTAAAATTTTTAGATGTGTTGTAAAAAAAAGTATGGGAAAGGCTCGCAATATTGACCACACTTAAAAATTTCTATTGTAATTTTACAAGAAATGTATTGGAAGCTAATAGGCAAAACATTTATTTAAAATTACAATCGGGTATAGTAAAATTACAAAACATATATAGCTTAGTGAGATTACTAATTTTACAAAACGGTTTTGTAATTTTACAAATATTTTTAGATTAGCTAAGTTTGTAAAATTACAATACTTTCCTTGAATTTTACTTGAATTGAAATAATAAAAAAGAAAGATTTGATTTAATATCTGTTGTCATTTTATTGTTATGAAGCGCTGACTAGATTTGGTATCTCACGTAGACCTAATTTGTTCAACTCAGATGATTTAAAGTGAAAATAATATATACCCTAACTAAGAACCGAACTCGAGCCGCGCGCTGGCCAGACCGATAGGTGATTCAACATCTTATTATTCTTATAAGCTAATCCTATGTGGTGATTGAGCATTACGGCTTATTATTTATAATTTACATTAATTGTGTTATTTTATGCTGTTTATTGATGAAAAACTCTAACATGTACTCATTCAAATATATTGATTTCAAAATGATCGTTTGAGCATAATATTAAAATTTATAAAAGATAAATTATGCCTCGAATTTATTATTACAAATAAACAACCATAGACTAAAAATTAGTAAAAATAAATATGAAGGACATTGTTGTTTTTTTATACATCAGTCTCATTTTTGTAAAATTGAAAAGTATTATTTTTAAAATTAGAAAACAGTGAAGTAGAATTACAATTCGTGTAATATAAATAAAATTTTCTATTTTCTGGTAACATTACATTGCACTGTGTAATTTTAAAATGAAAATTTTAAAAATAAAAAAAAGCTTTTTAAATGTTAGAATTAGGTAGGGCCTTTTAAATAAACAATACCAATTAATAGTTAAGAGTATTTATTAATATGTGCATTCGCACGTTACCAAAACTCAATCTGAAGTAAGTGGTGGTACAGTTCTCAAATCTCATCTCAAGCAGGGATCATGACATCACATGACCTCCCCACTACTCATGGGGT